AATTTTTTAGGGCAACGCTAGGCCGGCTATACCCTGGGATGCGAGAGCTTGAGATTCGATTGAGAAAGTCGGATGGAGAAGGAATTCTGCGGGTCGGGTCAAGAAATAAAGATATTTTACAAGTATAAAAATTGTTTATTCATTTATAAATCCTTTATGTCGACACAAAATCTACTGGTCCTGACTCGGTTCAGGATGAGTTTGGAACGTATTACAATGTTATTGAGTTCCTGTTCAGAGTCGTTAGATTGGTTAAGATAGTTTATAAGGAACTAAAATTATTCTGTGCTCCTTCTGGGATGAAATTATTGACGTCGTCGGGAGCGAGTACCACGGTGTCCTCGTCAAAATATTGAATTGGGTTGTAAAAATGGATCGTATTCAGGAGATGCTAATTGTTGAGTTTGATCATGGACGTAATATTCAGGGTCAGTTAGAAATTGATGATTTGGATCTATTAAGTAAGTATTTGATTCTGAATGAGACTGTTCAGGAAATTGAGGGTAGAATAGTCAATGTGTGGAGGAATATTATTAATTGGCGAATAAGTGTCTGAAGAGGGAGGTTGTATGATTATTCGCGTTGGATAAATTTGAACGTTTAGATTTAGAGGTCTTCGAGATCTACGTTCGCGTAGCCTGTGAAGGTGCTGCTCGTTTCGATCGATCTGATTTCTTCGTCGGAAAGGAGACCCATCTAACGGTTAAATAAATTCACATGAATAAATCGAAAGATAGATTGTTCTATTATTGAAATAATTGAATATGATTCACGTTTGTAGCGTGATTTACTCGTTAGTGAGAGCGAACAAAGAAGAAAGGTTAATCTTATGCGAGAAAGCCTTCACCTATTAATAAATTAACCTTATGTCAGTAATTATTATAATAACCTGTATTAAATGAGAATTGGTAATAATGTGGATAAAGGAAGGATTTGAATAGGAGTATTAATATCTGCGTTGAGAATATTAATACTTGATGTTTCAATCTTTAATAATTAAATCTTAAACTTTGAAATAGTAATTCTTAATGAATAAATAAATCTTAGACTTTGAAGTAATAAGAAGTAACAAACTTTGAAGTAACAAATTGTCAATGAATATCAAAATCACTGTCAGTGGTATGGTAAAGTAATTCGCAATTTTGGAAAATGCAGGGTATTAAAAGCATGAAAGAATAGAGAGATAGGTGTACATCCGGTTATTCCGGGTTCTCAGGTCCTGGTCTTAATAGGCTAATGCTACGTTCACTTTACTAAACGTGCATCTCTGAGATGATTTGCGAATTTACCTTCTGACAGGATATAACTCTAATGGGTATAGAGGAGTTAGGAATAGAGTTTGAATATAAGTATTATATCTATATTAAGAGTATTAATACGTTTAGCTTCAGGCATCAATAATTGAATTGTAATTGTGAATTAATTATTTTTAATAATCATTAAGACCACTGTCATTTGGTTTGGTAAAGTAATTCGTTAGGTTTGTAAAGCAGAGAGAGAGAAGCAGGGAAGGGTGAAGAAATGTACGGTTGCCCGTGGATTCGGTCCCCGAAGGTTAATGCGACGTTCACTTTACAGAACGTGCATCTCAGAATCGTAGTAACGAATTACTTATGACAGGGTATGGTTTTAATAGTAGCAAATAGGGTAAGGTGGAGTACACTTGTCAAATAAATTTAAATATCAATATGCAAGATCACTGTCAGTCGGTGTGGTAAAGTAATTCGCAATTATTGGAAAGTGCAAGGTATTTAAAGCATAAAAGAATAGAGAGGTAGGTATACATCCGGTTATTCCGGTTTCTCAGGTCCTGGTCTTATTAGGCTAATGCTACGTTCACTTTACTAAACGTGCATCTCTGAGATGATTTGCGAATTTACCTTCTGACAGGATATAATATTCTAATGTGTACTGAGGAATTAGCGTTATTCAATTCGCTAATAGGTAGTAGGATACGGGGTTACATACATATATAAATAAGCAGTGATATATAAAATACATAAGTATATTTATTATAATAGATTGAATAAGTATGCGATATCGTTTAAATAATATTGAATAGTATTGGATAAAATATTAAATAGATCGACGATTGTAACGCAGACGTATGCAGATGCAAATCGTAGATTGGAATAATATCGGAAACGCAGAGTAATATATGGCTTATGTCTGTATTCAAATTCAGAGTTCGTAATGTGAAATAAGATTGAGTTCGAAATTCAGTGGTTAAATAATTAAATTCAGAGTCGTAATGTGAAATAAGATTGAGTTCGAAATTCAGTGGTTAAATAATTAATTAAATATAGTGATTAATATAATGAGTGTCCGTCGCGCTTTACTATTTAGGGATATGTGAACTGGCTTAAATACTCACAAGGTTAGACAATGTCTTATGTGCCTTGCTATGGTACACTTCGCTACTGTGTTCTTCCCTCTGAGTTGAAGAGCTGAGGAGCCTCGGTACCTCGGTCCGAAATGGCGGCTATGTCTCGATGTCTTCAGAGCCCCGTAGTATTTGCTGGTTGAGTGCTGGATTGTTGTTGACTGGAACCACTGCGACGAATCACTGCCGTTCCGTGCCGGGAGCCGGGTTTATATACCCAAAAATGGGGCTCGCTCCTCCCATCGGGCGATGTGGCTCAGCCATGGTAAGAGAGATGTGCCGGGGAGTACCGGAGATAATCTGTTCCTGGTAGAGATTGCGACGGTTAAGTCCTGGAGAGATGGCTTCTTAGTAGAGATAGCGGCGTTCCTAGGTGACTCATCGCCGGTCGCTCCGACTTTCCTTATCCTATTCTCGGTAGCGATAGCTGTATGCCTTTGTTGGCTATGCGCTCCGACTTATCTTATCTTCTTCTTGGTAATCGATTTTGCAGGTGGCTGGTGACTCATCGCTATGCGGCTTGCAATGGGCCTTGCAGGTTGCAACGTGTTTCAGCGTTGCATCATGCATTGCATCACGCTATTGTTCTAGAACCTTCTAGAAATCTTCTGGATGTTTCCTGCGAGTAAAGCCGAGTTCACATAGTAAAGCGGCTTTCATAATAATTATTTAATTACTTAGTATACTTCTTTATAAGCGATATATATATATAATATTTCAGGTATAAGAATTTTGTGTGTTAATATATTATATATATATTAGTGTACATATTTAAATTTAATACTATTGAATAATATATATATTTATATTAGTAAAATGAATATTTTCTTATACTGTCGTTGAAATCGCCGGAGATACCATATGTCTTATGCATCATTGAAATCGCCAGAGAATACTACATGTCTTATACAGTCATTGAAATCGCCAGAGAATCTATATATTGTCGTCAAGTATACGATTGATATATATATATATATATATGTTTGTCCCGGCCAGTTTCCGGGACTTTTGACATCCCGTATTGGCAGATTCCGGGACATTTGGCATTTTCCAGGACTGACCTGGAAAAAATTTAGGTCCCACGGCAGTTTCCAGGACGCCCTGGAAACTGCCATTTAGATGAAATGGCAGATTCCAGGTCTGTACATTTAGATGTATATACATTAAATGTACAGACCTGGAAACTGCCATACACTTAAATATATATGTACATTTCGATGTATGACAGTTTCCAGGTCTGTACATTTAATCTAGAACTATATGGCAGTTTCCAGGTCTGTACATTTAAATGTATATACATCTAAATGTACAGACCTGAAACTGCCATATATTTAAATGTATACATGTACGTTTCGGTGTATGGCAGTTTCCAGGTCTGTACATTTAATTTAGAACTATATGGCAGTTTCCAGGTCTGTACATTTAAATGTATATACATCTAAATGTACAGACCTGGAATCTGCCATTGTATCTAAATGGCAGGTTCCAGAACGTCCTGGAAACTGCCGTAGGACATAAATCTTTTTCAAGATATACCTATACAAAGAAAATAATAAATTTTTTATAATATATAATTATTGCATATACAAATATATACATTTCATAAATATACATGATTTCTAAACGCAAAGATATAATTACTTGATATATTTTTATAACTTCAAATTTTAGGCTTACTAAAAGCAATTTTAAAAAAGCAATATTGCAAATGTTAGTAAGAAATGATGAAAAGAAATTAAAATTGTTGTTATTGTCGTTATATTCAAACAACCAGATTGTAATAAAAAATAATAAGAATTTAATAAAATGAAGATTATTGATTTTATTGCAATACCGAGAAAAGAGAGAAACATATTTCTTCATTATAGCAATAATAAAATCATTAGTTAACATCAGTTATTATAAGATTATTATAATAAATATGATATTTCAAATTATTGATATAGAAATAAGATTTCTACATATACAAAGAGACACTATCTTAAGAAAACTTACACTGATCCCGAAATATTCACGAATGCAAACAACTTTGCAAACCTTGAAACGTAATACATAGTTAATAACAGAATTATATGAAAAAATAAACACAAAAAGTTTAGACATGTCAGAAGATTTCTCCAAATGTTAATGAAAACTTATTAAAACGCAAATCAAAATTATTTACATTATGGTTATATTCACCAAGCTCAAGTTTAAATAAAAATTAACAAAAATAAATCAGTACTTAACTAATTATAATGAAAATATTTTTCGCGGAATAATTTATTACTTCAGAATTTGAATTAAGATTTATAGAAATAATACAAATTTAAGATACAATATTTTCAAACAATTTTAACGGTCCTGGAAAATGCCGTATTTTCAATAATGCAAATAATTTTCCAGAACTTAAAACACAAGTCATTCTAATAGTAAGATTATATAAAAGAACGTCGACAAATTTAGAAGAACTCACCAGAAGCCTTCTCAAAATAATATTACTTCAAGTGTAAATGCAAATAATGTGTGCAAATTTACAAATTATCAAAACTAGTGATATTATTCTTATATATAAACATTCAATTTATACCGTATTAAATTAAAAAAATCAGCTTTCAGTAGTTAATCAAAATGTAAATATGATCTTTCGAAGTAGTATTTATTATAATTTCGAATTAAGACTTATAAAAGAATAAAAAGAGACAATATTTAAAAAAAGCTTTACTAATCCCGGAACATGCTGTGTATGTTCAAAAATGCAAATGTCTGAATAATTTAGAACTTATTATGTTGCTCTAATAGCAGAATTATAAAAAACTTCTCGATAACTGTAGACTTATCAGAAATCTTCTTAAAATAAAACTACTTCAAGTTTCAATGTAAATGTGTATGTGAAAATCTAAACCAAAATTTACTGTCGATATTATTCCATCCGAAAATTTAATTTGCATGGTATTAATACAAAAATCAACTGTCAACACATAATTACATGTAAATATGGTCTTTTGAAGTAGAATTTAATACTTGAAAGTTAAAATTTTAATTGAAATAATCCAAAGAAACATTATATTTAAAAAATTTAATCGGTCCCGGAACATGCCGTACGTTCAATAATGCAAATAATTTTTTAAATCTAAATACATAATACTCATTCTAATAGCAGAATTATTTGAAATAAGATCCTTGATAAATGTAGACTTACCAGTAACTTTCTTAAAATAAAACTACTTTAAGTTTCAATGCAAAGTGTATGTGAAAACCTAAAACAAAGTTTATTGAGAGTACTATTATATCCAAAGATTTAATTCACATGGTTTTAATAAAAAAAAGTCAGCTCTCAATAAATAATTATATGTAAATATGATCTTTTAAAGTAGAAATTAATAACTGAAAATTAAAATTTATAATGAAAATTATTTCATTTTGTATTAACAAAGAGGACAATTTAAGAAAGTTTTGTCGGTCCCGAAACATGCCGTATGTTTAAAAATGCAAATATCTTTTCAGAATTTAAAACTTATTATGTCACTCTAAAAGCAGGACTATATAAAACAAAATTCTCGATAATTGTATACTTAAAAAAGTCTTCTTAAAAATAAACCTACTTCTTAAGTTTCAATGCAAGTGTAAATGTGAAAACCTAAACCAAAATTACTGATTTTATTGTTATATACAAAGACATAATTTACATACCTTTAATCCAAATATCAGATCGCAACATGTAATTATAATGTGAATATGATCTTTTAAAGTAGCAATTAAAACTGCAAATAAAAATTTATAATGAAATACTACAAAGACGCGATAATTAAAAAAAAATGTTATCGGTCCCGAAACATGCCGTATGTTTAAAAATGCAAATACTTCTGAATTTAAAACGTCCCCCACACAGCGAAAATTATATGACATAAATTCCTCAACAACTTTAAACTTACCAGAAGCTCTTCTTAAAATAGATTTTTCTTAATTTGATGTGTGTGGCATCCAAAAAAAATAATGTGTTACATCCAAATAATTAATAATTAATTAATTACCAAAATTTCAATTAAATTGTTATAATTATCTACAATCCATTTTCAATTATAATGTAAATATGATATTTTAAAGTAAAATATAACTAGAATTAAAATTTTAATGGAAATAATACGAAAAAGCAATACCTTACATAAATTTATGCTGTCCTAGAAAATGCCATATACTCAAAAATGCAAATAGCTTTACAGAATTTAAAACTTATTATGTTGCTCTAATAGCAGGATTATATGAGACAAAATTCTCGTGAAATGTAGACTTACCAGAAGCCTTCTAAAAATAAATCTACTTCAAGATTCAATGAAAATGTGTGTGTGAAAAAACTTAAACCAAAATGAATGACTTTACTATTATATCCAAAGAGATTTACTTAACTTTAAAATCCAAATATCAGCTCTCAACACGTAATTATAACGTAAATACGATTTTTTGAAATAAAATTTTATAACAAGATATTAGACTTTATATAGAAATAATACAGATCGACATTACTTTAATACATTTTTTTATTGGTCCCGGAATTTGCCAAATATTAAAAAATGCAAATATCTTTCCAGAATTTAAATCTTATTATGTCGCTCTAATAGCAGGATTATATAAAGCCAAAGTTTCTTACAACTTGCGACTTACCAGAAGCCTTCTTAAAAATAAACCTACTTCTCTCTCGCAGTAGTCTCAACGCAAATGTGGGTGTGAAAACCTAAACCAAAATTATTGACTTTATTCTTATATACGGAGATACAATTAACATATTTTTAATCCAAATATTAGAACCTAACACATAATTATAATGTGAATATGATCTTTCGAAGTAGAAATTAATAACGGAAAATTAAAATTTATAATAAAATAATACAAGGAAGCAATAATTTAAGAAAAATGACATCCCAAAACATGCCGTATCTTCAAAATAGCAAATAATTTTTCTGAATTTAAAACGTCCCCCTTATAGTGATATTATATGACAAAGAATCCTCGATAACTATAAACTTACCAAAAGCCCTTTTTAAAATAGAATTATTATTTCAACCATTAATGCATTGATGTGTGTGGACATTCAAACCAAAATTAATGCATTATAGCTGAAGATACAATTTAAATCGTTTTAATCTAAAAATCCATTCTCAATTAGCACTTAATTATAATGTGAATATAATACTTTGAAGTAGAATGTAATAACTAAAAATTAAAATTTATGTAGAAATAATACAAAAAAGCATTACCTTATAAAAAGTTTAGCGGTCCCGGAAAATGCCGTATGCTCAAAAATGCAAATATCTTTCCAGAATTTAAAACTTATTATGTTTCTCTAATAGCAGAATTATATGAAACAAAATTCTTGATAACTTTAAACTTGTTAGAAGCCTTCTTAAAAATAAACTTCAAGATTCTATGCAAATACGTATGTGAAAATCTAAACCAAAATTTCTTGACGTTACTATTATATATCCGAAGATTCAATTCACATATCGTTTTAATTCAAAAGTAAGCTCTTAGCATAAAATTATATATAAATATAGTTTTTTGAAGTAGAATTTAATAACTCAAAGTTAAAATTTATATTTAAATAATACAAAGAAACATTACTTTTAAAAATTTTATCGGTTCCGGAACATGCCGTACGTTCAATAATGCAAATAATTTTTCTATAACCTAAAAACATAATACTCGCTCTAATAGCAGAATTATTTGAAACAAATTTCTCGATAACTTTAGACCTACCAGTAGCGTCCTTAAAATAAAACTGCTTCAAGTTTCAATGCAAATGTGTATTTGAAAACCTAAACCAAAATTTATTGACGTTACTATTATATATCCGAAGATTCAATTCACATGGTTTTAATTCAAAAGCTAGCTTTCAATATATATTATATGTATTAATATGATCTTTTCACGTAGAATTTAATAACTAAAAATTAAAATTTATATTTGACACAACAAGAAGGATTGGATAACTACATCATACAGGAATACTGCACATCGTGTATTTCACAAGACAAACTTTTATATCAATATGGCGATGGCGAGAGAGAACATTAATTATAAATTAATATAGATGGTCGATCGGGACGACCAAAAAGATTATAAATAGCGACACCACAGTTCGCGTTGATTGGCTAGCTTAGCAATATTGTTATAGATGTGATCGTTAATGCTCTAACAATATTGCAATAATACAAAATAAAATTATTTAAAAAATAGTTTATCGGTCCCGGAACATGCTGTATGTACACTAATCGTATGCAAATAGCTTTTAAAACTTTACAACATTATATCTCGTTTGAATAGCAAGCTTATATAAAAAATCTGTATAATCTTAGACTTTTATCAAAAGTATTCTAAAAACTACTTTAATAAAATGATATAAAATCAAATTGAAATTATACTGACGAATGTTCAATTTAAATCGTTTTAATCCAAAAATCGATTCTCGAATAATTAATTATAAATTAATTATAAAATCGATTCTCCAATAATTAATTATAATGTCAATATAATCTTTCGAAATAGAAATTAATAACTAAAAACTTAAAATGAAATAATACAGAGGCAATAATTTAAAATTTTTTTCTGTCCCGAAACATGCCGTATGTTCAAAAATGCAAATAATTTTCCTGAATTTAAAACGTCCCCCTCTAAATAATAATATTACATGACAAACTTTTAATTATAATGTAAATATGCTATTTCAAAGTAAAATTTAATAATTTAAATTAAAATTTACATAGAAATAATAAAAAGAGACATTACTTTATAAAAATTTTAGCAGTACCGTAATATACCGTATGTTCAAAAATGCAAATCATTTTCTTGATTTTAACACGTCCCCTTCATAGCGATATTATATGACAAAAACTCTTCGATAACTTTAAACTTACCACACACACACACACACACACACAAAAGCCCTTTTTAAAATAAAATAATTATTTTAACCAATTATGCAAATGATGTGTGTGGGCATCCAAATAAAAATTAATACATTCCATCCGAATATTCAAATTAAATCGTTTTAATCTAAAAATCCATTCTCAACACTTAATTATAAAGTGAATATGATATTTTGAAGCAGAACTAAATAACTGAAAATTTAAATTTACATAGAAATAATACAAAGAAACATTAGTTTAAAAAATTTAGCGATTCCGGAATATGCCGTATGCGCAGAAATGCAAAAACCTTTCCAAAGTTTAATATTACGTCGCTCTAATAGCAGGATAATATGAAACAAATAATTCCTCGATACCTTTTGACTTACCAGCAGCTTTTTTAAAAATAAACTTACTTCAAGTTTCAATGCAAATATGGATGTGAAAACCTAAACCAAAATTATTGACCTGATTGTTATATTCGAAGACACAATTTACATAGCTTTAATCCAAATGTCGAAATATCAGCTCTTAACACGTAATTATAATGTGAATATGATCTTTCGAAGTAGAAGCTAATAACTGCAAATTAAAATTTATAATGAAATAATACAAAAAGACGATAATTTAAAAATGTTGTCGGTCCCGAAACATGCTATATATATGTTCAAAAATGGAAACATCTTTCGAGAATTTAAAACGTATTACGTCGCTAATAGCAGGATTATATAAAATAAAATTTTCGTTAACGTTAGACTTATCAGAAGCTTTTTTAATACGTAAATATAATTTGAATATGATCTTTCAAATAGAAATTACTGAAAATTAAAATTTATAGAAATAATAGAAAGAGACATTACTTTACAAAAATTTTAGCGGTCCCCGAATATGCCGTATGTCCAAAAATGCAAATATCTTCCCATAATTTAAAACTTATTATGTCACTCTAATAGCAGGATTATCTGAAACAGAATTCTCGATAACTTTTAGACTTACCACAAGCCTTCTTAAAAATAAACTTACTTCAAGTTTCAATGCAAATGTAGGTGAGCTTTAATTCAAAAATTAGCTCTCTCATATAAGTATAATGTGAATGTGATCTTTCGAATAGAAATTAATAACTGGAAATTAAAATTTATATAGAAACAGTACAAAGAAGCTATATAATTTAAAAAAAAAACGGTGTCGGAATATATCGAAACATGTCGTATGTTCAAAAACGCAAATAATTTATTTGAATTTAAAACGTTCCCCTCATAGCGAAATTATATGACAAAAGGTTTTGATAACTTTAAACTTATCAGAAGCCCTTCTAAAAATAGAATTATTATTTCAATCATTAATGCAAATAATGTGTGTGGACATCCAAATAAAATTAATGCATTACACCCGAAGATTTAATTTAAATCGTTTTAATCTAAAAATCCATTCTCAACACTTAATCACAAATGACATTTAATTAAATATGACATTTCGAAGTAGAATTTAATAACTGAATATTAAAATTTATGTAGACATAATACAAAATACATAAGACATTAATTTACAAAAATGTTAATGGTCCCGGAATAGGTCGTATGTTCAAAATGCAATTACCTTTCCAGAATTTAAAACTTATAACGTCGCTCTAATAGCAAGATTATATAAAACAAAATTCTTGATAACGTTAGACTTACCAGAAGCCTTCTTAAAAATAAATCTACTTCTCAAGTTTCAATGCAAATATAAATGTGAAAAACTAAACAAAAAATTATTGATTTTACTGTTACATGCGAAAACAATTTACATAGTTTTAATCCAGCATCAGCTCTCAACGCGTAATTATAATGTAAATATGATCTTTTAAAGTAAAAATTAATGACTGCAAATTAAAATTTATAATGAAATACAAAAAAGCGATAATTTAAAAAAACTGTCGATCCCGAAACATGCCGTATGATCAAAAATACAAATAATTTTTCTGAATTTAAAACGTCCCTCTCATGGCGATATTACATGACAAAAAATCCTCGATAACTTTAAATTACCAGAAGCAAATAATGTGTGTGAACACTCAAACCAAAACTAATGCATTTTATATCCGATGATTTAATTCGTTTTAATTTAAAAATCCATTCTCAACACTTAATTATAATGTGAATATGATATTTCAAAGTAGAATTTAATAATTGAAATTAACATTTATATAGAAATAATACAAAGAGACATTACTTTACAAAAATTGTAGCGGTCTCGGAATATGCCATGTGTTCAAAAATGCAAATATTTTTCCAGAATTTAAAACTTATTAAGTCGCTCTAATATCAGTATTATATAAAACAAAATTCTCGATGACTTTTTTTAGACTTACCAGAAGCCTTCTTAAAAATAAATCTACTTCAAGTTTCAGTGCAAATGTGGGTGTAAAAACCTAAACCAAAATTATTAACTTTACTCTTATGTAAGAAGATCGATTCAATTCGCATGGTGTTAATATAAAAATCAATAACATGTTAACAGTTAATTATATGTAAATATGGTCTTTTGAAGTAGAATGTAATAACGGAAAGTTAAAATTTATACCAAATAATACAAAGAAACATTACATTTAAAAAATTTTATCCGTCCCGGAACATGCCGTACGTTCAATAATGCAAATAATTTTTCTATAACCTAAAAACATAATACTCACTCTAATAGCAGAATTATTTGAAGCAAAATCCCCGATACCAGTAGCCTTCTTAAAATAAAATAAAACTACTTCAAGTTTCAATGCAAATGTGTATTTGAAAACCTAAACTAAAATTTATTGACGTTATTATATATCCGAATTTAAGATTCAAATCATATGATTTTACTTCAAAAGTTAGCTCTCAACATATAATTATATGTAAACAAGTTTTTTTGAAGTAGAATTTAATAATTAAAAATTAAAATTTTTATTTGACAGAACGAGATATGCGATATCTAAATCACACAGGAAAAAATATAATACTGCACATCGTGTATTTGCACGAGACAAACTTTTATATCAATATGGCGAGAGATAACTAATTATAAATCAATATAGATGATCGATCGAGACATCAAAACGTTATAAACGGCGACACCACATTTTGTCTTAATTGGCTAGCTTAGCAATTGTTATAGCAGATGTGGATCGCTAATGCTCTAACAATTTCGCAAGAACATATAATTCAAAACTTAAAAGTGAAACTTAAATTTCAATTTTATAATTTCTTATTTTATTAAATATATTATGTAATAAATGTATTTTGCTTTACTTATAAGAAAAGAAAACTTATTGTTAACTTTTATTGCTAATAAGTAATATTAGCATATATATAATAAGAAATAAACTTGGACATTTCATAACAAATTAATGCAGTAATTGAAACTTACAATAGAGAAACTAAAAAATAAAAAACATTCTGCCTTCAAAAATAAAAATACATATCTTAATTTTAGTAATTAAAATTTATAATCAAAAAGTTAATAGACTCAAAAATTAAAAACATATTATTTTAAAAAATAAAAATGCATATCTAAAATGGCATAATTGAAATTTGTAAAATCAAAATCTTAATAAACTCAAAAATCAAAAATAGGATGCCATAAAATATAACAATACATCTTAAAAATTAAATGTAGATACATTTACTCAAAAGTCTTATTTTTTTTAATTGGTTGTGTAACCATGTTTTTATGACATCAGTTTTTCTATCTCTTAGAACATTATATTTCATTTTAACTTTTTCTATCTCCGATAAAGGTGGTAATATTCCTTTACGTGTATAATGTGAAAAATATGTTTTTGCATTTTTTATCTCTTCATTTGTCCATCGTTTTTTTTTCTTATATGTTTCACGACCTGTAATACAAATAATTCATGATAAAAATAATTGAAAGAGATCTTGATGTAACATCTAATTATTATATAGTTACATGATTGATTTTTGCGCTTCCTTTTTCTGTTTTCGCTGTTTATACTTTCATTAGAACTGTTTGAGCTCATATTCATTACATAATCTGATATGTCACTATCTGAATCTTTTCCTATTAAAAAAAACTATAATATAAACATGAAATCCAAATGTAAAGAGAATAAGAAAAAGAGATCAAATTATATTTTAAAATATACATTTTGTTTAACCTAATTGTTTTTATTTAGATATAAATATGTAATAAAAAAACTTTTGATTATTAATTCACACATTGATACAAATAATTTTGATATATACTTAATATATATATATATATATATATATACTTACGATAAATTAGACCTTTGTTTTTAGAATAAATATTTCGTTTCTTTCGTAGATTTGAAACTTGTTTGCTCTCTCTGTCTCTTTCTAGATTAAATTTAAATGTTATTTAATTTTAATTTTATTGTTATTAAAATCTTTTTAAGGGGATACATCTTATATAGATCAAAATAATAAATAAAAGGAAAATTATTTAATAAAAGAAAATAATATAAAAACAATATACCTTTATCTTTATTCTTCTTCTGTTCGGTTTGTATTTTTTTTATCACGTTATTTTGTTTTCTTTTATTTTGCGGAATTTGTTTTTGCTTTATTTCTTGTTTCTTTTTTTTCGGTATTTCCTTATTTTTTTTCGTTTCTACTGAGGTATCAATAGTTTCTTCATTTGTATCGACAAATGTTTGTGAGATATCAGTAGATACTTCATTTAAATCGACAATTGTCTGTGTTATATCTAATAAACAAAAATATAATTAGTAAATTAAAAATAATCTTTAATTATAGTTAGTAATGTTTAAGTATAGTTGCTATAACCTTGATTATTGAAAGAAAGATTATCCTTTTCATTGTTCATAGTTACATCAGTTTCGTTAGAGGTTGTCGTATCCACACCTTGAGCTTTTTCTAAAATTTTTGACATTTCTAGTATATCAACTTTAGCAACAGGTTGTCTGTAAATTTCTTTGTGTATATGTTCATGATGACCCATAAAGTTTGCTACCCTTGTTACTTGATTATCTGATAAATTTAAATCCACACATTTTGTTGCGACATGTTTGCGCAAAGCAGTACCACGAAGGGAGGAAATATTTTTAGCTCCACATTCACTTGCAAAACCTCGCATTAGTTTACAAGCTCTTAAATGTTTATAGTGATCTTTGTTAACACTAGGTAATCCAAACACGAAAGGATTATTTGGTGGCACCTTAGCATTTGTCCGAAATTGTAATAAAAGTTGAATACTTTTGAACATTTGCGCATCTAATAGTACTGGAACTGTTCTATTTAATTTACCGCGAATAGTAAATCTAACATATTTATGAGTTGTGCCGGTTTGTGTAGAAAATTTACATATAGTGTTAGGTCCACAGGCGCATTCATGGTTTTTATAGTCATTAATTAAAATTCTTTCAGTTTCTCCGGCTCTACGACGATTAAATACTTGAATGGCTATGAGTGTTGCTTCAGCTAGTGCTTTACATACTTCATATGAAAATTCTTTTGATAATACTTTAATATTTTCGTGTATTTTTTTTTTCAAATAGTCACTTAAAATTTTAATATCACTTGTTCGAGGCAATACTATCTTTTTGTGCCGTTTTACTTTTGTATGAGTTTCTATCACCACTTTATTTACAGTTCCACTAAAATCTACATCATAAATCTTCATAAAATCCTCAACATTTTTCCGTTTTATTAAATCATTGTCTACCATGTATGTAACATCTAAGATTTTACCGATCTTTTTTATACAAGTGCCGAGAGTAGATGCATTAGTTGGACGTTTATACATGTTTGTTTTGTAATCAAATTCTGCGATATCATTAATTGCCTCAATTACTGTTTTATAAAATTGTGGATCATATGCAGCAGCTAAAGTATTAATTTCGGAGTTTCGATTTCTCAAAGCTAGTACGAAACGACCTAAAAGGCGTAAATGAGCTCGTATATAATTATTCTGATGTTGATGAACTTGGCTTTTGCACATATTATTTCCATATAAAATAATTGCACGGTCATATCTTATAGCTTTGGATATTTCATCTTCTTGTAAGACCGGTAATATTTCTACTCTCATTCTCTGCTTGTTTCTGGATGATATCTGCCAAGAACCCTTCGAGCATTTTGTAAAATTTGTCGAGAGGAACTTGAACTTGAATTTTTATTGTCCTTACATTGTTGTACATGATGTCTTAAATTATTTTGCGCATAAAATCCATTACAATAAGGACAATTAACAAAATTTGTACCATTCCGTTTAGTCTCTTTTGTAGGTCTTCTAACAGTTATCAATTTCCCATGATTATAGTCCTTTGTTGCGTTGAAAATAAAGTTTCCTTTTTTTCTTATGCTTGCTATTTTGTGCCAACGTTCAGCACATCCTTTTGGTAAGTTTAAGAAATCTTTAACTTGATCTTCATCACAGTGTTTATTTTCCAAATGACGCGCTATTTTAGTTTGTAAAGTCTTGCAAAATACACAAAAATTTTTTTTTGTTATCACCTTTAGGACCATTTGACATTTCAGCAGTTAATTCCAAATCATTACATGCACTATTTCCAGGAACATTAAATTTTAATTGACTATATTCATCGCTTTCGGATGCACTGTTTGTTTCATTAATACTATTATTATTAATATCAGAATCATTTGCCGTTACTTTCTGTATTATTAATTCTGATGAACATTGAGTTTCATCAGTTGGGTTGTATTCACTGGTATTTTGAGTTTCACTCATTTTAAACTCTTATTGCTATCATCTAAAATAAAAATGTATATAAACAGTATATCTAAAAGTATATCTAAAATCGTGTAGCTAAACAATTTAGTATATAGGATGTCCTAAAATCATTTGGAAACGATTTCTCTCTCTGAAAATGTCGAGGCACCAATAGTTTCCTAATTATAATTAATTAAGAAAGAAGGGTGTTTCGTAAATTATACTCTGTAGAGATAAAATGTTAATAAAATTAAGTTATTCAGTTAATTTCAAGTAGAGTTTATTTTAATAGAATTTTAAGGTTTAATTAAGAAAGCCCATGGCGACAAAAAATATAATCTTGTAAAAAAGTAATGACACTTTCGCAGAGAAAAAATCTCCAAATGGCCTCAATAATCTGTCATCAAGAAGAGGAACTCTAGTTGTGAAACACACGATATATATGTAAATATATACTATATCAGATAAAACATATTCCAGTATCTTATTTTAAAATAAATTAATAAATATAATTAATTTTTATAAATAAATATAAAATATCTAAAATCTTTATAAATTATTTTCTACCACTTACCACAGTTTGATAAATTTAAAATGATGTATTTCTCATTAGATAATTTAAATTTCGAATATTTATTTCTTGTTGTAGATTTAAGTATTCTTTTTCGTTCCATCTCAATGTTTGTTGGTGTTGTTTTTAAGATAGCATATGATTTATTACATACAATATTTTCAGTAATTTTTGGCGTTATTTTCTTTGAATTACAATCATTAAAATGCGTACTGATTTTCTGATGTGTGTCTTTAGAATACAAAAAACAATTATTAAAAAATTTACACTAATATTTATACTAATCTAATATACAAAATATTTTAAAAAATAATTTACCTTTAATTTCTGCATGAATAATAGGAGAGCCAATATTAATCATGTTTTGATTTATATTCTCTTTATCTTGTAGATCAATTGATATTAATTCTTCATTGTTATGTATATGCATTGGCGAGTCTTTATTTTCAGTAACAACAAAATTGTTATTATTCATATAATTTCCATTTAAATTATTTTCAGTCAATTCATTATTTGCGTTGCTATGCGTTTGTTGATCAATATTAAAAGTAACTCACACATATTTTCTGATATTGAAGATTCTTTATTTAAAATGAATATTAAACTTGAATCTATAATATCACTTATATTGCTAGATGTATTAGCTTTATCATTGCACTCATTCACTGTGCTTTCAGTGACATCTAAATTTACTTTTTCGCTGACATCTAAAGCAGTTTCTATTATTTCACTGACATCTAAAGTAGTTTTCACTCTTTCATTGATCTCTAAAGTAGTTTCTGTTCCTTCACTGACATCTAAAGCAGCTTTTATTCTTTCGCTGACATCTAAAGCAGTTTCTATTCTTTCGCTGACATCTAAATCAGTTTTCACTTTTTCATTGACCTCTAAAGTAGTTTCTGTTTCTTCACTAACATCTAAAGTAGCTTTTATTCTTTTGCTGACATCTAAAGCAGTTTCTATTCTTTCGCTGACATCTGTAGTAGTTTTCACACTTTCATTGACCTCTAAAGTAGTTTCTGTTCCTTCGCTAACATCTAAAATAGCTTTTATTTCTTCATTGACCTCTAAAGTAGTTTTTATTCCTTTGCTGATATCTAAAGTAGCTTTTATTTGTTCGCTGATATCTAAAGCAGTTTCTATTCTTTCGCTGACATCTAAAGTAGTTTTCACTCTTTCATTAACCTCTAAAGTAGTTTCTGTTTCTTCGCTAATATCTAAAGTAGCTTTTATTCTTTCACTGACATCTGAAGTAGTTTTCACACTTTCATTGACCTCTAAAGTAGTTTCTGTTCCTTCGTTAACATCTAAAGTAGCTTTTATTTTTTTATTGACCTCTAAAGTAGTTTTTATTCCTTTGCTGATATCTAAAGTAGCTTTTATTTGTTCGCTGACATCTAAAGCAGTTTCTGTTCTTTCGCTGACATCTAAAGTAGTTTTCATTCTTTCATTAACCTCTAAAGTAGTTTCTGTTTCTTGCTGACATCTAAAGTAGTTTTCATTCTATCACTGACATTTAAAGTAGTTTTAATTTTTTTGCTGTTATCTAAAGTAGTCTGTATTCTTTCGCTGACATCTAAAGAGTCTCCATTCTTTTGTCATCTAAAGTAATTTCTGGCTCACAATTGCTACTTGTAATAAAATTGTTATTATCCACATTAGCTAAACTTGTCTTCTCTTTATGTTTTGCAATGTCTACTAGTTTGATTGCTACATTTCGTATTTTAAAATTTTTTTCTGAAACTGATTGGCTTGGATGATCAATGTTTTTCTTATTTATAGGTCGCTGTTTAGTACCTTTATTTAAAAATAATATATTTATTTATAGTATAAAGTAAAGTAATATATGCATTAAAAGTATATTATACGTATATAATAAAATTGAAGTAATTAGCAATTTTAAAGAAATATTTTTATAAAGATTAAGGTGCATGAAAATATTATATCAAGTAATATATGAAAAACAAACTACTTTCTAATTTCATTAAAAATCACTCTTCAAAATATTATGGAAATAATAAGCGTGATCTACAATACGTGGAGTAAGCCTGGCGTAAAGAGTAATAATATTTTCGAGGAGGTTATTTTCAGTTTAAAAAGCTGGATTAAGGACATAAGCGTAAGAGTAAAAGTAGGAGTAGTAAGAATACAATTAATTTATTTCGTTTACGCCGTTAATTCAACTTGTTTAAACCGAAAATAATCTTCTTATTTTTCTACTCTTACTCGATCCTTACGCCAACCTTACTTTTCACGTATTGTAGACCACGCTTTATTACAAGCAGAGAAAATAACGTAAATTATTACACGTCAGACGTAATTAATAAAATATTTTCTTACGTTTTGCTGGCATTTTTATTCTTTCGTAACACTCAGTAAGTTAAATTAACGGTTGTTCGTGATGGAATACATCAAGAACTTTAGTTGTTAAGACGAGCCGGGTTTTTTCCCGCGGCGGGACCATAATAACGATATCGGTAGAAAGTAAAGCGAGTCATTCTCATGGATGCGCAGTAGATCAACCAATCACATTCGGCCCATTTCATGAAAATTCAATATGACTGATAGCAAGTCACAAAGGTAGTAAAAATTACATTTTTATATATATGTATATCGTATATATATATATATATACAGAATGTCTAGTAAGAATTGTATCAACGCTCGTGAGAGCGGAGAAAGGTATAGTAAACTGAAGAAAAAAGTTCTTTATTTTTTTTGAAAATTTTGTAATAATTATTGAGATATTAATTAAAAAGAATTGGCAAATTTTTGTTGTTAGCAGTTTTTATCAGTATCCTATATTTATATTCTCCAATAATTTATTTCCTCCAATTATTTACTTAATTTAAATATATTTATGTCTTGAAATAAATCAAAAGTATGAAAAGGGTGAAAATCCCCGGAAACTACTATTCCGAATCTAATGTCCTGGAAACTGTTATGTCCTGGAATCTACTAATATATAAATTTCCTGGAAACTGCCATGTCCTGGAATCTACCAGTCTGTGAATGGCCTGGAAACTGCCATGTCCTGGAATCTACCAGTCTGTGAATGGCCTGGAAACTGCCATGTCCTGGAATCTACCAGTTTGTGAATGGCCTGGAAACTGCCATGTCCTGAATCTACCAGTCTGTGAATGGTCTGGAAACTGCCATGTCCTGGAATCTACCAGTCTGTGAATGTCCTGGAAACTGCCAAATTCGATTTTTCCTTAGAAAGGATAAAAATACATCTCTTTTATTTAAGTAGGAGTTATTAAATGGCAAGAGAAATATTTTAGAACCATTTTTATTTTCTGTACCGGAAACTGCCACTGGACATATATATATATATATATATATTCTTACCTTATTTTAGGTTTTCTCACAATATCAATGAGGATTTTTAAATATTCATTCGAACTATGGTATCCTTAATTTGTACGTCGACCTGTGATATGTGACGGCTACAATGTTACTTAACGCATACGTGTACGATTTTTTAGTCTCTTGAATTATGAATAGTTATAATTAGGCCGCTTATTCTTATTCATGTTTATGTTTCCTAACGAATGATCGTAGTAGAGAGTCTTTATTATTATTCCTTTATGCTATCAATATTATTAAATGTAAAAGTGAATTATTACTCTGTCGTCATTTGTGAGAAGACTGTTTTAACCTACAGTAATTATAATGTTGAATAAATATTCGTTATTACCGGTCTTTCATGCAGGTTAGCGATTGTCATGACTAATAGATAAAGAATAAAGTTTTGGAAAAGTGTTGAAGTTTGAAATTGTCTGGACGTTACAGTTAACCGCGTAAAGGCCAGATGGTCAGTTGAGAAACTAGACTCATGGCACGCGCTGAGACTGAAGGCACCTTAGCCGGGGAGCTTTTCATTAACCAGTATCTGGAGACAAGGGTTCCCCAATAGGAGTCTCAAGCCATCAAGGGTAACGGCAACAGGAGCCTTACCGAATGATGGTTAAAGACTTCTGCCAAGAGATCCAATCGCGTCGCGCGATTGTGATCGATGAGGGCGATAGGGATGGTGCGGTGATGACACGAGCCAACACCATTCCTGCGGCCACTGAGGCTAGTACTGACGATCAAAGCGCACATCAGCCTTCCCCTGAACAAAGTTCTCAGAGGCTGCGGGACAAGATACAATCACTCGTAGAGCAGAGTGCGGCGTTCCGTAGCTACGAGGCTGATACTCTTGCTGGCACGGCAAGAGATGCTCTGACGGCGGGGAGGGTCGACGTCTTGGTTATCAAGAGATGGCTGGGCTGATCTTATCTTCCCTCGGCCGCTACAAGTGCGCCCTCCGCAACGCGTTTCGGCAAAGAAGCACTGTCCTCCAGTCAAGCAGAGAGCAGGAGCAGAGGAGAAAGAGGGAGTATGCAATTGTGCAATCCCTCTACAAGAAGAACAAGAAGTCCTGTTTGTCGCGTATCCTCGAGGGCGACTTGGTGCGCGAGAGGCCGTCTGCTGTCGAATTCTTTAACTGCTGGCGCCCCATTATGGAGGCCTCCAGCGGTGCGGATGGAGACATGACGGACTTGCGTGAGTCGTTTGGGGAAGGGCACAGGCTGCGAGTGCTGGCCGGGGCCGTACGTCAAGTTTGAGAGGGATTCACCTCGAAGGTCTCGGCGATGGCGCTGCCACGGATCCAGTTCCTGTGGCGGATAAGACCTTGCTCTGGGATTCTATAACACCTGCAGAGGTAAACAGGATTTCCGTAAGGACTGGCACTGCGCCCGGATGGACCAGATTACGCCGAGGATGTGGAACGCTGTTCCTGCGATTCTTCGTGCGCTTCTGTTCAATCTGCTGCTCCTGGCAGAGACGATCCCCTCGTCAATCGCCACAACCAGAACGGTATTCCTTGAGAAGGGGGTATGTCCGATCGGCCAGGTCCGACGGAGTACCGTCCTCTCAGCATAAGATCCGTTATAACAAGACACTTCCACAAGATATTGGCAAAGAGATTGGCAGCCCTCGACATCTTCGACAAGCGCCAAAGGGGGTTCCGGCCGGTGGACGGGGTATGTGAGAACGTCACAGTCCTTTCATCCGTGCTTTGGGACGCCCGGAGGCGTTGTCGTTCTCTGCATGTGGCGTGCGTTGATCTGTCGAAAGCTTTCGACGGTTGCGCACGCTGCTATTCATACGACTCTCGATGAGCTGGGGCTCCCTCGGGAGTTTAGAGAGTACGTAAGGGCTGTCTATTCGAATGCGCTGACCGAGTTGCAGGGGGTCAGCGCTGAGGAGTGTCGGCCATCATGATTGGCCGTGGCGTGAGACAGGGTGATCCGTTGTCGCCCCTGCTGTTCAATCTGGTCGTAGATAGAGCACTAGGAATTCTCTCGGAGGACGTTGGCTATCGGTTGGGTAACCGGCTTATCAATGCGCTGGGCTACGCAGACGACATTGTGCTCCTGGTCTCTACCAGAGATGGTCTGCAGGAAACTTGACACGGCTTCATGACGCCTTTATGCGAAATGGGCTCGAGATCAACGCGAGAAAGACCGGAGTGCTGTCCATGGTGGCGTCCGGCAGAGACAAGAAGGTGAAGGTGGACACCACACCTTATTTCACCGTGGGGGGAGCGATGATACCGCAAAGATCCCTGGTCGATGTCTGGACGTATCTGGGCTGCGAATACACAGGTGCTAGGGAACTCGCAAGCGATCCACCCTTAGCTCAGGCCCATCGAGCAACTCACGAGGGCACCTCTTAAGCCGCAACAGCGGCTGAGGTTGTTGCGTGACTGTCTCCTTCCACGGTATTATCACCGATGGACAGTGGGTACGGTCTCGGCCAAAACCCTCAAGGGTAAGAATATCATCGTACGCACCGCGGTGCGACGATGGCTGCGTTTTCCCCATGATGTTCCTGCTGGATACCTGCATGCGCCGATACAGAGTGGCGGGCTTGGAATGCCTCTATTGAGAACTTTGATCCCAATTCTGAAACATAACCGACTGCAGCGGTTGTGTCGGAGTACTCTACCCGCAGCATGCGCGGCTGCCGAACCACGTATGTGGCTAGGCAGCTTGTCTGGTGTGAAAACCAGATGCGAGTGCGGGGTCACAGAGTGACTACGACCGCTGAGCTCAGACAGCAGTGTGCGGCCTGGTTGCGCGAGTCGTGCGATGGGAGTGGACTCAGAGAGGTTGCGGCCTCCAACCTGAGCTCCTACTGTATCGGCTGGCGCCGATGCCATCCCAGGTGCCGACTACGTGCACTATCACCACATACGAGCTAACTGCATACCGTCTAGAGCGAGATGCTTCCGAGGTCGTGATGGGCGCGATAATCGCTGTCGTGCCGTTTGTCCCGAAACCGAGACGCCGGCTCACTGCGTGCAACGCTGCTTCAGAACGCACGGAGGGAAAATCCTGCGGCATGACGCCTATGCCGTCAAGTTGGTGGCTATTTACAGCAGACGGGATGGGCGCGTCCATGCGGAACAAGCGTATTC